GAATTAGCCATGGTTTGATTATTTTTAATGACTAAAATTCGTAATGATGCAGAGGAAAATGATAGAAAGAAAAGGCATAGAGGTTAGTCATTTAAAAGGATGTTTTTTTTCTGTACAGCTAGATATGCCTTGAAGCATCATTTTGTGTTCTGCTTCTGTTCACTGAGGGAAATAAGGACTCAAGGCACCTTTTTGGCACTGAGGATAAGTAAATCTCTGACTTGCATCATATGGGAATGCTTGGAATAGAGGATTGAGCTGCACAAATTTTTATGGACAGTATGTGTGTTTCATAATATTCTCATGGAGAATATTCCCTTAATATTTTCCACAAATTGTCTTTTGAACCTATTGTCCAATCGTACATGTGATGTTTGCCACCTTAAAAGGGCAGAGGCGTTCTGGGGTGGTACCTACGTGAAGGTGGTTGTGGCGTTCGCGATGTTGGTGTTGCTGAGTTGCAGAGAATGATGGTTTGTAAATGACATTTGGAAATATTAGGTGAAAAAGCACTTGTGTCTTTTTTTGACTGAGACACCGCTGCTGCTCTTCCGTGGTTATCAGTGCCACCTTCTGCTTCCCCCATGGCTGAAGCAAGTGTTAACGTTGCCTCAGGTTCCTCTCCCGAGAAGCCCTCACAGGAGCAGATTCACTTAGGAACCACCCCCTAAAAGTGTGTGGCTGCCTGGAGACCCCCCTGTTGAGCCCCATCCTAAAATGAGATAAAATGTTCATTCCTGAAGTAGCATCAGGGAAGGGAACGTGCAGGACAATGTCCTTCTGATCTTGCAAAAGCAAAACTTTCTTTGATCTGAGGTTTATTTCCATAAGTAAAGGTTAATATTCGTTTTAAGTACAGGAGGGACAATGTGCTGTTATGTAAGCAGGAGTTTCTAAAGTTTTTTTTTTTAACTTTGTTAAAGTTTAAGCCTGTATTTCCATTGCAAAACTGAAACTAATTTATATCCACACCTCCAAATCTTTCCCAGAGACACTTCTCACTAGAGAGCGTCCATCTGCCTGTCAGGGACAAAGCAATGCCGTACCCTGGGAAAGGAAATGGGAAGGGCACTGGATCCAAGCCAACTGAATAGCTCCGATTCACCCATCTGTAGCTGAAAATCCAGCTGACTGTCTTAAACCATCCGTGTAATTAAAAAGCTTTTCCTTCTTTATTGTGGGTAAATTCCACCAACTCAAATGCTGGCAATTCTTTGCTGACTGATCTGGTATCACAGACCACGCGTCTACTGCCGCTCTGTTCCTGAGGCTGTGTCTGACTCCCAGCCTCTGTCAAGGGTTTGTTTCTTCTCTTGTCTCATCCAGCTACTCTTGATGTCCAGTTTTTAATTTCAGACCTCATAAGGGGTTGCTTACATTACTCCTGGTTGATATTTCTTTACTATTTTCTTCTTTATGTGAAAATGTATATGGAGGTAGTAGTTACATTTCCAGCTTCTATTGCATCAATGCAATTTGTGGCTTTCAGTGTACATATTGCAGCATAAGAGGAAATACAGCTTTAAAGCCGCTGGATTTACAGGCACAGTTTAATCCAGTGTCAACCAGGTACAAATTGAAGATATGTTAAACCGAGTGCAAGCTGTCTTGTAGTCCAAGGAAAAGAGCTTTTTTATGCAGGTTTGCTGCTAGGTCATGGCAATTTAACTGAACAAAAAGTTAAGTTAAAGGTAGTTGAAATAATTTTTATTTCGGAATCAGCGTTCACAGAGAGACTTGAAATAAAGCCATAAAAAGTGAGATTAACTCTAATTACTTTTGGCCATGTCGTAACTAGGCCAAACATAAATTTTGATGTTTTTAAAGCAAAAATAGACAGCAAAGAAAAAAATCTTATCTGCATTATAATCATAAAGAGGAAGAGAAGATTAATTTCACTAATTTTACACTGTAGGTCACCTATGAAGTAAGGTAGCTATATCGACCATGGAGCATTGCAGCTCTGTAACAAAATGAAGGGGGGAAAAAAAAAAAGCTATATGAGATTATTGGGGAAAAAAAATGATGTTTTTAGCCCACTTCATGCTACCCAAGAGCAGAACTTTTCCTGAAAGTCATTGTGTGTGTCTCTGCTTGAGTAGGAATTACGTGAATGGCAAAAAGTAGTAATGCTTCTGGCCGAGGGCTGGTGTCTAAAAATAGAAGTTGCAGGATCGCTGTTGTGGGTGGTGTCCACAGAGGAGGATGTTATAAAACTCAGATTTGGGGAAAGCAAAGGAACTGGTTCTCTGAAAGCTGTGTTTGAAAGCCTTGGAAAGCCTTGTTTAATGAGTCAGCTTAACAAATTTAATTTCCCTTTGGGACTTGCTTCCAACCATTTGCAGGACTGGGCCAATGCATAAGAGAACCTGAGGATAAACTGAAGACCTGAAAATAAATCGATGGAAGCAAATTGATGAGCTTAGATGAAGCATTCAACAATGAAACACCAATACTGAAAAAATAATTTGAACTGCAGTTTTTCAGTTGTTCCAGGCACGGCCGTGTCCCTCCGCCAGGATCCCGTTTCGGGGGGTGGGAGGCGCAGGCAGCCGGTCCTGGCGCAGGCCCCGGCGCGAGAGGCGTTTGCTGCCGAGCAGCCCGTGGTGCCGCGCCGAGGGGCGGCCGCGTCGCCGTGCGGGGCCGGGGCTCTCCTGAGCCCCTAGCGCTCGGCTCGCTCGTTCCCTTTCCCGGGGGGTTGCTGCTTCCCCGCGGGCGGCCCAGCTCAAGTGCAGTTCTGCGATCCCAACCGTAGGTGGGGCTGGAAAAGAGGATGGTTGAGGGCTCCGTCTTCCTTGCTCAGGTACCAGCGGAGGCTTCGCTGCAGAGTCGTGTCTGGGGCTAGATACCACTCGAATCCAGAGAGATTCGGGCCCCTTTGCTGGCTCTCATCTTTCGAGGTCTCCACAGAACTCTGAACAAAGTCATCTGTGCAATTATAACCTGCAAGAGCTGGGAGGAGGTTTGTAATAGCAGCGCATTTTCTTTGTGCTTGAGAGGTGCTTCCTTTAATGAGTTGTTGTTAGAGGGCTATATTAGTTATCCACGTAAATTGTATTGCAGGAAAGAACTGTGGGAAATGAGGGAGTATTGGGAGTTGCAGTGTTTGATATGCAGACGAAAAAGTGTTTCCTGTCATTCTGTTTTCATATAGCTAAGAAAATCTTTGGGTTTTGCTTTGTTTTTCTGCAGCTCTTTCATGCTATCAACTGCCTGGCAAAAGAGAATGTGCGCTTGCTTGTGCTGGGCCGCAAGCACATGCTGGTTAACTCTTCAAACTGGAACCAGAAGGTTATGAAGGAGATGCAGAATAAGGCAGACTTCTTCTTTGCAGAAAATATGTGAGTTGAAGAAAATGGCTAAACTTAAGAGAGAATTGTGTGCATTTTAAATCAATATAAAGAGCTGTAGAATAACTTCAGGTCAGTATGCATAAGAAAGTGTACCCCATGAACTATTTGCCTCAGGAACCAATACAGATTAAGTGTTGTATTAAGACTCAATATCATCATTTAGAATCCCACTGGCTATTTATAATGCTTTAAATCAATTTATCATTTTTAATTAATTTATGAATATGTTTTTATTCCAAGTGTATTCCAAAATTTGGGGGGGAGTGCCATTATCAATTTTAGGAATTCTGTTCCCCATAGCACTGTATCATTAAGTTTGGTTCAGTTTGGTGGCAAAAATATCATACTCTTAACTTATTCATTTGTGATAAAAGACAAGAATCTTTGTAGCATCCAATTAGTTTTTCTTCCCCTTTCTAGCTTTTAGTGCATAGTGGTAGGAAGAAATTATTTGTTTCATGGGTGAAACTGAGTAGTGGTGGGAATTTTGAGCGTTGCTGATGAATAAATCTCCGATCAGCACTTGATTCATTTCCTGCAGCCAGTTACTACCGTGTGAACGGTGTCTGTCTTTCCCGTTTGTTTGGTTCAGCTCTGAAGACGATGCCTTCCTGCTGTATGCCACCCTCAGATCGGGCAAGCACTGCAGGTTTGTTACTAGGGACTTCCTGCGGGATCACAAGGCCTGTCTTTCCGACAGCCTCACACGGCACCTCTTCCGTAAGTGGCAGCGTGGGCACCAAATCGCCATTTCCCCTTCTGCGGAGGGAAAGCATTTCAATTTTTTGGTAAGTTATGGGCAGCATTCAGAAAGAGCGCCGAGCATACTGACTAAGAATACACACAGTTTCAAACTCAGTAAGCAGAAGGATTCTTGTTGAGGTCTAAGAGATGGTTTTGTACCTGTGGGCTGAAAACTCCTGTTGTTGCTGAAAATTTGCTATGTTCTCCAAGCCTGCCACAAACTGGAAAACTGAAGGAAGTGATGCCTAGAATGTTTAAAATGTAGGTGGTTTTTGTGTACATGTAGATACGTTTTACTGCACTGGAAAGATTTGTATACACAAAAGTGTAAGTGTCAGTATTTCTGCATTCTGTTTAAAATGTGGAAATACCTTGTTCTCCTCTACAGAGTTATTATTAAATACCATATTTCTGTGTTCTAATTCCATTCATTTTTGTTCTATTATTAAATACCATATTTCTAACTGTGTTCTAATTCCATTCATTTTTGTTTTAAAGAATCAAATACAGCTATTTCAGTATTCATTGTAATATTTCTTTAAAATATTTTTAAGGTTTCATGCAGTGAAGAAAGGCCAAAATAGGCAGATTCATTATCAGTATTTGACTGTAGATATGGCACCTTTCCAGCATAAGAGGTCTTTCCTAGCATAGTACTGTAACGTTGTGTTTGGGAGACAGCAATCCCTGGGAGGCATAAGCAGTTATTAACAAGGCTTCAGCCATTCTAAGTTTTTTTTCTAGGGATTGTCAGATTCATTACATGATATTCCAGATTATACATTTTTCTAATGTTTGGTCTGTCTCTGTTTTTATCAATGCAGTGCATATGCAGATTCATTTTCTTGCAGCTCTGAAATTTTAAAATAATATTTATTACTGCAAACATACTGTAGAGACCAAGGCTTATGACAACCTTTCATTAAGTATCACTAGCTATGTGCCTTTCTATGAATCCATCACTAGGCTAACTTGCTTTGCACACCTTTAGCTACACCTCGTTTCCTTCTCTTGCTCTAGCAGAACTAGTAATTTTCCCATCTTGGTCCCTGTACAGCTGATTTTGGATGTTGGGCTTATCCAGGCATAGCTACCTCCTAGGTTTTCCCAGGAGCTGCAATAACCAGTAACACTCCTTCGGTATTTGTGTCCTGCACGATGGCTGGTGTACCTGCAGCCTGATAGACCCTCAGAATGGTTTATTATATTTTTTTAATATTTTTCTTCTGATGGGACATGCCGGAGGTGTTAGTGCTAATTCTATTTCTGGCATCAGCATGAGCACATCAGTGATCAGGGCAAATCAGTTCTGTAAGGAGGTGCACTGGATGAGCAAACGCAAGATGTCATTACTTCAACCTTGATTTTAGTAGAAACATGCAAACTCCACATCCAGATTTAATTCTCATATGATTACATTGAATGGGGAGGAAAAAAAGAAAAGGCAATTTGCTATTTCTGGAAATTTAATGTATCATGTTCAAATGATTTTTTATCTGGTGGATGTTAAAGGCAGAATTTGAACCTTTTATAATGACTCCAAGACCACAAACTACTGAAATATGTTTCCATTTTTCCCCCAGCCTTTCCTAAAATTGATGAGTTTTTTACTGTTGGGAAATAAATGAGAATTTGGGGATGGGATACTGTCATGTTTGATCTGTATAAACCTTTTAAACACACAGAAATGAAAAATAATCTATATCCATGAAAGGAAATGTAGAGTATGGGTCATGGTGCAGTTAGAAAGACTAAAGAAAAGGACCTTTGAGTCAGCTAAGGGGGCCTGTCCCAGGGCTTGCAAGTTCAGCAGCACATCAGCAAAGTAACCGGAAAGGACTTTTGAGTCAGCTAAGGGGGCCTGTCCAAGGGCTTGCAAGTTCAGCAGCACATCAGACTGCCTGAATGTGGCTGGTGTCTTGTACAAGGTACACAGATGGTATAAAATGTGCAGTGAAAAAATTCAGTTAAGTGACTGATCAGGTACTTGGCGCGTGGTTGTTCCTTGTAGCTGCTACTTTGTAAAACGTCGATGCGTAACTGGTGTTTCAGCAGTGCGGTGTATAAAGATGATTTTTCTCTGTCTTTATCTTACAGCCTGCTTTCAGTTATGACTGTGTTGTACAGACTACAGGTGATACATGGCATATTCCCTATAAAGATACGTTTGAGGAAAAATACTCATATGAAGTGCCAAGAAAATGGCTCTGTCTTCAACAGAAGCAATGAAGAATGTACTTGTAGAAGCCAAAACCTGTTCTTTTATCAGAGCTCAGCAGTACAATTACAGGATTAATCGGTGAGACATGGCTGAAAAGTGACTCAATAGTTGCATTTTGTCAAAATTATTCCAACAGTGAGTCTGATGGTGGTTCATCAGGGATTAATTTGATCTACTGTGTCCATCTTTCCAGGCCATTTCTGTAACTCTCAATGTGATTTGAATTAAAATTTATTTTTCCATATGGGAATTTCAGGTTGTGTTTCTTTTTTTTTTTTTTTTTTTTTTTCATCTGCACTTAAAATCAGGAACTCTGTACCGTAAATAAATCAATCATGACTTGTGAAATACTTGCAAATTGTCCTGCTGACTTTGCAACCGTGTTGTACGGTGCCTCCAAAACGAGCTGACTGGGCCAGGTGCTATTCACCATTTGCCAAACATAGTTCTAATATTTAATAACATTCATTGAGGTTTTTTTCATAAGAAAAAGGTAACAAGAAGAAGAGACCATGTGGCTCTCTTATTCTTAAACGTGCTGCTTTTGGGAGGATTTCGCACCTCTGGAAAAGTTTGCTTATGTAAATATGTGAATTTTCTAAATAGAAATTAATCCCATCTAGAAATTCATTACAGAAAAAAAAAGCTTACAAGAAAAAAAATAGTATATATAACAGGAAAAAAAGTGCTCTGAGTTATGATTTATAAATGTCTCTATGGGGGGCGAAAAAAAGCATTTGTTTATTCAGTTTACCACTTTTATAAAAACTCCTCTCCCCATAAAAATAGATGGAAGTGCCTTATCTCTGTTGGAAGATCACCAATTTGGTGGTAAAGTAGAGGTAAAAGCAGCCTTCTCCCCTATTTAGGAAAACCATTGCTTCTGGTTATTAAAATTGTTCTATTTAAAATACCACATAGAGGTGCCGTGAGAATACATGGCTCCACTGTGCCATCTTTTTTTAAATATACCCCACAGCCATAGCTCCCTTGAAGAGTTTGCAGTAGTTTCTTATACTGACTGAAAAATTAATGTGTATAATTTTTATTAGTTAGAAAATGCTTGTTTTTGGTTTTCTTTTTTTTCTGAAAAGGGTGCTTTGACAATGAAACCAATACCTTGATACAAAAAAAAAAAAAAAAAAAAAAAAAAAAAAAAAACACGCCACCCAACCCGGTGTATTCTCGGTAGTGCTTTTGTTAGTGTCACCTTTGTCCCCCAGACACAGTTTGAGCTGAGTCATACGGGTGTCTCCATACAGAATTTGCCGGCCTGAGCCCCAGGAGTGTCCGGGACAGCCTCCCGCAGGACCTGCAGAGGTCAGGCACGTTCCCTGCTCTTTTGCTGCTCCCTGCACGTTTCCTGTAATGGCAGAGACGGGCATCCCGCTTCTCGTCCTGCTCCTGACCCTGGCGGTAGCCGTTTGTAAAGGAGCTGGCGCCGGTTGCAGTAGCTGTGCCCGTCACATAGTGTGCTGGGTGCTGAGGAGCTGAGTCCTTCTCCAGGTAAACCAGAGCCCTGGGTTTGAATTTGTTGCTCTGTCGGTAGCACTCATGAGAGAGCCCTCTTCCCTCCTAGCAGAGCGTGCCAGCTCCTCTCGCCCTCGGCTTTCCGGAGGCCGCGGGGAAGGCAGAGACTGGGTCGTCTGCTCTTGTTCCTCAAACTTAGTGACTTCAGGTGTGTATGAGGATTGTCCTGACGTTTCTCTAAGTCAAGGAGTTGCCACCCCTCCTTGAAAACGGTGGTATTGCTCTTTGGACTGAGTGCTTAGCTGGCAACCCTTGCCCTGCCTGGGGTTACCTATTTCACCCCATCCCCAGTGAACTGCACAGCAGAACAGGCTGGTCTGGATCATGGCTGCTGTGGTCTGAGCTGGATTCTAGCTCTGCTAGGGCAGCCCTGCGGATAATCCATTCAGAGCTGTCGCCTGAAGCCAGCTCTGTAAAAATGACCTGGCACCGTTGTGTGGCCGCTGCCATGTGGGAGAGGGGGCCCCTGTGGCTCTGCCCGACCAGGAGCAGGTTGTCTCAGGTTGTCTGCTTCACCGCAAGGCAGGGCCAGGCATTGAGGTTCATGTTTTATCTTTATCCTGGTCATTCGGAGACACACGTGATAACCAGCATCTAAGTGGAATAAGTGCAAGCCATCCTTCACAAGCTTTTGACTGAAACCAGACGTGTCCCTAATCAGTCATGGTTTCCCGTCAAAAATGCTCTCTTAGAGATGCCATAACACCTTCCAAATAGTGGCATTTTCTCAGTGCATGGATTATTATTGCCGAGTGCCAGTCTGTGTGCTTTCCTGTGCAGCCGTGAACGAGGTGCTCTCACATTCCTCCTCGTTCGTACTTCAGTACAAGGAAAACTGTTGCTGATGCTGACGGCCCAAAGGAGAGCACCGGCCTTGCAGCATGCGTCGTATCCCAACGGGTTGGAGCAGATGGCATCATCTGACAACTGAGAGCATTGCCTAAGCACAGCTTGCAGCTACGGCACCCCTGTAGCGCGTCCTTCCCCTGTGCCAAGGATGCCCCGTGACGGCCGCGACGTGGCTGCGGGCAGAGCTGTGCAGCTCCTGCGCACGGGGCTGCGCGTGCCGCAGGGAACGCGCCGGGCGCTACAGCAAACCGGCCAGAACAGCACGCTCCGAGCTGTGCGATTCACTATGTGGGCACTGTGCATCAAAGACACGTGAAGTTTAGTGGTTATCCCATGAGGATGAACTGCTGTAAGAAACGATCAGGTGAGTCTGTGGTTTAGGTATTGCGTGTGAAAGAGATTTAGAGAACTTAATAACATTGTTGCAAACTTTATTTTATTTTATTTACAATGCAGGAATATTTGAGATAATGCAATAACATAGTGCTAATGCCAGCAAAAATTACAGTATTAAATTGTCTTTTGTCAGATACTTTACCAATTAACAATAAAGAAAAGAATCTTGGAATTTACAAGAGGAAGATATTCTAAGATCGGTGTCAGAGTGGTTATGATTTTATTTTCTTTCCTGTATTTTTTCTGTAATGCTATACAATTTACTCAAAGACCTGAAGCTCTTGACAAGGAGTCAGCTACCTCCTCTCTATGTCCAGCCACTTTTTACTCTGCATGCTGCCTGTTCGTATGGCTGTGCACACTCTGCCGAGGTTGCGTTCTGGCTGAAAATACATACTTATTCCAGAATAATTATTTGCATTTTCTTTAAGATATTGGTGAAATAACATTGCTTTTGCATGGCTGTTTGCCTGGAAAGAGATCACTGAAAAACAGAATTTGGAGACAGCAATGAATATGAGGATTTGCTTCTGACTATTTTAAAGGAATTCCAGGGGATTTCACTGGCAAAAAACCTGACAGCCAAACCAAAACAATCCACAAACCAAAACTACTGGAGAAAAGAAAACCATGTAAGGTAATGAGCTGAGGCTTTGAAAATCTGTGCTTACTAGTATAGCAAAAATTTAAGAATCTTTACTGGTGTTGCTTAGATTCACAGGTCCTTTGGTTCACAATCACAGAATGGTGGAGGTTGGAAGGGAGCTCTAGAGATCATCTAGGCCAACCCCCAGATGCAGCGGGGACACCTGGAGCATGTGGCACAGGGTGGCATCCAGGCGGGGCCTTCTACCTCTCAGAAATCCATCTCATAACATAACATAGCTTTGAATAAACAGAATGGGTAGCGATGCATGAGCTTCTATTAATTAAAAAAGTGCTATGCATCTCATTTCTTAATGTTCCTCTGAATACAGGCAAGTCCATCACAAGTTTCACCAGTACTCCTCGGCCACAGCAATAGTTTTGGCCACAGCAATAGTTTGTGAATAGTTTAATTGCCAAGATAATGGATTTATTATGTTAAAAAGATCTCAGAACAGTCTTTCTTTGTAATCCTATAGCACAGACTCTGACTAATGTGGTTGATAAGACTTGGTGAATATTACATCAGCAATATTTATTGTTTTTCTGAAACAAATCCATATTTTGGAAGTCAATTAAATTGCTACACATGAGGAAAACTAAGCTATATCCTGAGAGCACTATGACTCCTGCTCTGTCATCCCCATGGTATTGAGTAACTATAATCTAACCTTGGTCTGAGTCAAATATTGACTCTCAGGGTCATAAGACTTTCTGACTCTATTACTTTTTGGCAATTGCGTTGAATGTTAGATAATTCCTTCCATTTTCCTATACCCTTAATGTCAAGAGAAAAAAAAAAAAGATCTGACATGAAACTCCAATGTTACAGTATGGAGCTTCCAAATAAGGAAGGACTAGTAGCTCGTGAGTCCTCAGCCTGAAAAGAAAAAAAAAAGAAGAAAAAAAAAAGGATGACTAAGCAGAGGTAAGATAGATGTCTTTACAGTCAGAGCTGTTTTGGAAGGGGTAAATAGGGTTCACTCATTTGCAGTCTCTCCCAGTACAAGAGGAGGCACCGGCAGATAGAAAGTTCAGATAAAAAGTGAAGTTTCAGCCGGAACCACACGTGCTGACACACAGCATGTTGTGGGTACAAGTTCACCTGAGTTCAAGGGGAGATCAGCAAGTTCATGATGGTAAAATCCATCACGGGTTATTAAAATAGACACCATCGCTGCCTTGGGATGCCCCTTCCAACTGCTGGGGACTGGGAGAATATTCAGAACGAACATGTTTAATGAAGGGCTCTCTGTAGTCCTCATGCTCTTCTGCGGGTATCCACAGCTGGAGACAGGGTAGTGGGCTAAGCAGGCCCCGTACAGGAATTCCTGCGTATTTTTCTGTGTTGCAATGTTTGCATCACAGCTTTGACAACTTTATGTCTGCCTGCAGAGTGTTTCCCTTATTGACCAAATTTGTGTTGTGTAATACGCAGTGAGACAGCTAATGTTTCCATGGTACTAATAAACAGCAAGACGTATATGCAGAAATTGAGAAAAGCAGATGATTTTAATGTATGAAATAGCAATGCAATCCAAAATGCTTCTGCAGTCTGCTCTTCCAACAGAGAATAAGTTCATCAAAATAGTCTTCTTTTAACATGT